GTGTGTGTCTGTGTGTGTGTGAGAGTGTGTGAGTGTGTGTTATAGAATTCAGAAGCTCAGGCAACAACTGCACCCTTCCTGCAGAAATGATGACTCTGAGTTTGTCTGTGTGTGTGAGATCTTACAGACGAGGGTTTCATTCTCTTTTCTTTAATAGTGCCAATAAACCAGGCAATATTTGGCTGCTTGTTGCTCTAAACGTCAGACATCTCCATCCGTGACCAGATAAACAGTTTCTGTTTTGAAAAAAAAATATTTTTGTTGTGTTGAAATGTTCAAGGAACACACAGAATTAAACATGGCATTTGAGTAGAGATAGGACTGAAATAGTATTAGAACATGCTCCAATAATCGCTTTTGTTTACAGCTTTGAAAACATGTTTTTTTCCTCCAGTGTGTGAGTGAATGTACAGGTGTATGAGCACTTTCATCAGCGGTGTTTGGTGTAATGAGTGTGATTGAGCTCATGTGTGTTCTGGTGGACACGACACGACTGCAGAGGTCAAACCAAAGGCCTGACGAACGGAAGGCTTCTATTTCCTCGGGACTCGTTGACAGCTCAGAGTGAGACCGACGCTCCCTCAATAACACTCAGGATTTGGTATAAAGTGCACACCAGATTAGGACTTGTCACAGTCATATTTATTATTTCCCAGAGTGATTATAGAGACATGCCTTTGCAGCTTCATTTGCTACAAAACAAAACCGCTTTTCCACTGTTTTAGCCCAGGAAATAACAATAAAACACACTGACTGCTTTAGCGGGGCATGTTGTCACACTCTACGGGATAAGCCTTGAAAATGAGAACAATTTGCCAAGTAAAAAAAAAATATATTTTTTCCAGCATGTATGTGTATTTTAAATGCATTAAACTATTTAATATATATATATATATATATATATGCACCCTATAAAATAGTGAATGTCAACATGTAAATGCAAATTATAACTAGTCGTTATATATTATATATTGCAGGTAATTTGGAGAGTTTTAAAGACACTCGTCTTTTTCAGTTGCTTTAAGGATTTAAATAAAATTTTCAAATAATCTTTAAATGCAATCATGAAACTAAACCTATGAAACAATGTATGTATTTAATGTATTTAACAAATGCGTTTTGGCAATTATTTTCTATTTTTTGAATTGCATAAAAATCATATTCATAACTAGCTCGATAATAATAATAGTAATAACATACCATAACATTTATATAGACCGACCATTATTAACATTATTTATTTAAATTTTTTTGTAGACAAATACAAATTGAGCTTTTGTGTGATTTTATTTACAAAACTAAAATGTTTGATTATTAGTGATAAATGAAAAGATAAAGTGAGTCAGTTTAGAGTTAAACATGCGTAACACCTAACATCGTGAATGGCTAACAAACATTTAGCAGCTAGTGCAGCTGTGTCGTCATCTTCTCCAAGTATGACTTCTTCTCAGTATCACTAAGTTCAGCAAATGATGGAATCAGTGTTTCACACACACACACACACACACACACACACTCTCGCTCTCTCTCTCTCACACACACACACACACACACACACACACACTCTCGCTCTCTCTCTCTCTCTCTCTCTCTCACACACACA